GGTGGTCTGCAACGTTCTTTGACCTTGTCCAGCTGTGGAAAAACTAACAGGTGTGTAAGGTGGTCTGCAACGTTCTGTGACTTTGTCCAGCTGTGGAAAAACTAACAGGTGTGGAAGGTAGTCTGCAACGTTCTGTTACCTTGTTCAGCTGTGGAAAAACTAACAGGTGTGGAAGGTGGTCTGCAACGTTTTGTGACCTTGTTCAGCTGTGGAAAAACTAACAGGTGTGTAAGGTGGTCTGCAACGTTTTGTGATCTTGTCCAGCTGTGGAAAACTAACAGGTGTGTAAGGTGGTTGCAACGTTCTATGACCTTGTCCAGCTGTAGAGAAACTAACAGGTTTCTAAGGTGGTCCGATCACGTGATTATACACATGTAACTGAAGTCAATGAACAAGTTTTCATTATTTAGTGAAACTACATAATCTGGTTTATGTGATCGGCATTAAATTGTGGTTTATTTGAAAGAAACGTTTACTCAGCATTTTGAATGAAATCTATAGATTATATTAAGCTCGAGGTCAACTACTATACAGTAATCGAAGTATCGAGAGAATAGTTACCCCTCAACAACTGTGTTTTCACTTATTGATATGGATACAGATAAATTTAATGACCACTTTAATATCACAATGTCTTCTAATTCTACTCAGTTACCGAACGGAAGGGGTCTTCTCCCCATTTCCCTCATTTCTCTCGCGCTGGGTCTTCTTACTTTAATTACAGCAATCGGTAACATCTTCGTCATTTCCGCCATTTTAACGGATAGAATTCTTCGGACAGTAGGTAATTACCTCATTCTGTCTTTAGCCGTGGCGGATTTAATGGTAGCTTGTCTCGTGATGCCTTTCGGCACTATTTACGAGATTATGCAGGAATGGCGGATGGGATCGGTACTGTGTGAAATATGGACGTCCTGTGACGTGTTGTGCTGCACAGCGTCCATTCTCCATCTGTTAACCATCGCTGTTGACCGGTACAGAGCAGTAACTCACGTAGATTATGTCCGTCAGAGAAGTTCGAAGGACATTGGGCTCATGGTTTTACTCGCGTGGATCGTTGCCATAGCAATTTCGGTCGCCCCAGTCTTCGGATGGAAAGATGAAGGCTTTGAAGATCGGATAGTCAGAGAGAAGAAGTGTTTAATCAGTCAGGACGTGGCTTACCAAGTATTCGCTACATGTTCATCATTCTATTTACCCCTGGTCGTTATTCTTATTCTCTACTGGCGTATTTTCCAAGAAGCTCGCAGAAGAATCCGCAACAAACCAGGAACTACAATTTCTCTTCTGGTCAGAAAATCGCATTCTAAACTTTCGGAGTCACCTGGAAATGAAACCACCACTCTTTCGACACCATCTTGCTCGGCGGATTCAAGCCCCTGCTCCTCGACACCGACGAAGAATAAACGGACGAAAGAGAAATTATTCCGTGTTGACACAGTTCTTAAAAGAGGCAGAAGACAACCACGAGACCTGGAGTCGAAACGTGAAAAGAAAGCTGCGAAGACCTTGGCGATCATCACTGGAGTATTCATCATTTGTTGGATGCCCTTCTTCGTCCTCGCCTTCGTCATGCCCATCTGTAGCAGCTGCTACTTCGATGAAAGACTTTTCACTATGTCTCAATGGCTGGGCTACACTAACTCCATGCTTAACCCTATTATCTACACTATTTTCAGCCCAGATTTTCGTCAGGCGTTCAATAAAATGTTATGTAGAACACCACAAAGAGTTCAAACTAATTTATAATTTATTTTACACTAAGTAATAATAAGTGTTAATCTGTTTTACACGATCATCTAAGTAATAATAAGTGTTAATCTCTTTTACACGATCGTCTAAGTAATAATAAGTGTTAATCTCTTTTACACGATCGTCTAAGTAATAATAAATGTTAATCTGTTCTAACACTTATTATTACTTAGATGATCGTGTACTTAGATGATCGTGTAAAACAGATTAACACTTATTATTACTTAGATGATCGTGTAAAACAGATTAGATTAACACTTATTATTACTTAGATGATCGTGTAAAACAGATTAACACTTATTATTAAAACAGATAAACAGCTATTATTGTTCCTAGGATGTAACACGTCGAGGTAAAACAAATTAACACTTATTATTACTAAGATGATCGTGTAAAACAGATTAACACTTATTATTACTTAGATGATCGTGTAAAACAGATTAACACTTATTATCACTTAGATGATCGTGTAAAACATATTAACACTTAGATGATCGTGTAAAACATATTAACACTTATCACTTATATGATCGTGTAAAACAGATTAACACTTATTATCACTTAGATGATCGTGTAAAACAGATTAACACTTATTATCATTCAGATGATCGTGTAAAATAAATTAACACTTATTATCACTTAGATGATCGTGTAAAACAACCTCAGTATGTTACATCCTAGGAACAATAATAACTGTTTATCTGTTTTACCTCAGTATGTTACATCCTAGGAACAATAATAACTGTTTATCTGTTTTATCTGAGTATGTTACATCATAGGAACAATAATAACTGTTTATCTGTTTTACCTCAGTATGTTACATCCTAGGAACAATAATAACTGTTCATCTGTTTACCTCAGTATGTTACATCCTAGGAACAATAATAACTGTTTATCTGTTTTACCTCAGTATGTTACATCCTAGGAACAATAATAACTGTTTACCTCAGTATGTTGCATCCTAGGAACAATAATAACTGTTTATCTGTTTTATCTGAGTATGTTACATCCTAGGAATAATAATAACTGTTTATCTGTTTTACCTCAGTATGTTGCATCCTAGGAACAATAATAACTGTTTATCTGTTTTATCTGAGTATGTTACATCCTAGGAATAATAATAACTTGTTTATCTGTTTACCTCAGTATG